ATTTACATAAACTGGCTACTAATCATGATTTTCTTGTTCCAAAAAAATTATTGGGTCCCAAAACACTCCATTTATTGGATCATTAAATGATCCAATAGATGAAATGTTTTCAGATCCATGAACTGAACTTGCTTTACCTAACATTATGTTGTCTTGGCATCTGTCATCTCTAAAAGGACAATCCATACTTTCCTAAAATTCCTGTTTTACCTAAAATTGCATGTTTTACATGCTTTTACATAAAAATCTTAACTCTAGACCTACTCAGTGCACCGATAAACCTCAAAGATGAGCTCAAAATGCCAGTTTATGGGATTTGCCAGCATACCAAATGCTGGTTTAACAAAATTTCACTGTACTATTTAAGAATCACTGAATGATCACTTTATTTAATAATGTAAATTTCATGGTTTGATCATTTTATTATGATCATTTAATATTATAGCATACATTCCAGACATATATAATCATTTTAATGTTATAATCTAAATGCATTTAAATGCAAAAAAAGTCACATATGGTAAAAATCTTAAAAGTAGTTAGTAAAAAAAAAAGACAATTAATTTGGTGTATTTCCATATTTGTTTGTGAATTAAAAATTATAAAATAATTATGACTGGAAGCATTTTGTCCTAAAATGTTTTTTCTCTTCCTATTAACTAGACAAAAGAAGCAACCAATGCCACTTGGCAATATTCTTAGAATTAACCAAAATTAAATACTGTGTTACATGATGATAAACAATTAATTTCTAAGACCAGTTATTTTTATAAACAATATAAAATTAATTTTTAAATAAAAGTAAGAAGTTCTATGTTAGCTGAACTCACTGTTAGACTAGCATACAATAGACTTAGAAATAGTTCTAAGTCAAATGCTGACTAGAAAGTGGTATATCATAGGGCAATTAAAATGTTGATTAGATTAATTTTAATATTTTAATTTTATATGTAATAGATTTTACAGACTTTTTCTTCTATGCACCACATACATATTTTGGAGTTTTCAACTTGACTTTGAAACAAAACTCTTATGATAAAGAAGCATTTCTAAATATGAGTTGCAACATGTTTTCAACCTTTCTCCTTTTCTACATTAATAACAAAATAATCTCTTTATAAAACAGGAATCTACCAAAATGGAAAATTCTGATCTGTAGTGTAAGACAATTTTTGTTGTATTAAAATAGTATTACATTCATTTATGCTTTTATAAGGTTTTAATTATTAATGTTAAGTTTACTTAACATTAATAATTTAATAAAATAAAATTTTAATGATAAATTTCTTCATAAAATTATTTATAAAAACAGCCTAAATTGTAGAAAATTTGAATTTAAATATAATAAATAAATGAGAAAGTTTGTCAAATAAAAAAAGATAGTTCAAACTGGAAAAATGCACAAATAATAGTTGCATAGATAACTTTTGCTTTAGTCCAGTAGTACATTATAAATGACAAATGTTTTCAAACTTATGATGAACTTTCAAAATATGTTCAAAAACATTTGTTGTTTCTAATGTACTACTGGAAGAAAGCAAAGGTTATCTAGGTGATTATTATTTGAGAAATTTTGTAAGTTTATATGTGGAATTGTTTTATCTTTGTACTGCCTTTGTAGAAACATTTGTGTTCAGATTGGCAGTGTCATTGAATTTTGTCTTTTTTTTTCTCTCAATATTGTTGGAAAATTTTATTTTTTATTTTATTTATATATTTTTTTATAAATCTCTTCCATTGTATTTTACAGAAAACTTTGAAAAAGCCCATAAATTTCTTTTAAATGATCAAATTTCAGCAGATTAATCATTTTGGTTTATCAGTTTCAATTTAAAACTTAGTGATGTATGAATATTTTGAAAGTATTTACTTGAAAAAAATCTTATTATTATTATTATTATTTTCCATCTATTTTCAATGTTTCTTTGAAATATGGCATTTTAAATTATTTTGTTGCTGATTGCTCTATTAAAATTACTTTTTTTTTCATTTGAGAAAAATATTTTAGCCTTCATGAATATTTTTGTAAAATACAGTAGACCGTCAATTTTCCGAAAGTCAATCATCCGAAAGAATTCCAGTCAGCAAATTTAAATTTTTGCCAGTGCTGTGGCGCTTCAATATTTGGCTATGTCTTAGGCTACTCAAATATTTTACGTTTTTGATACTAAATTAACATCTGAAGTATAATTTTTTATTATTTTTATATTTTTCAATATATTTATTTTGTTTGTACAAACACATCGTTCTAGACTGCATATTTTAATATCAAAAAACACTTACTACAACACCTTTTCTTGCAGTCGACGTTTATTAGAAAACTTCAAACGTTTTCGGTCTTATTAAAAGACCTTTCTCAAGAAAATACGATTAAATAAAGAACAAACACTGTAAATCGAACACTTAATACAAATAACTCTTTTTTGAATCTTTCGAACTGGCTTATAATCCGTTGCGAATGACGTCAGTGTAAACTTAGCAACGGAAATATAACAATATTACATAAATATTTACATCTAAATACGTATAGTTGCCATCTCTCTACATTATTCAAAAGTACGTAATCTGAGATACATAGTGACTACTTCCTTCAATTATTAATATTATAATAAGCTAGAGGACCATGCTGCTGATATTTTAGTCGCTTCCCGGNTTAATGTATGTAGGGGCAACAGGAAGATGTATCAAAGACAGGTTAGCAGAACACCAAGCAAATATAAGAAAAAAACAACCATGCACTGCGCTAGCCACCTACGTTCTAGCGGACCAGCAAGACGTCCAAGTTGAATGGGACCAAGCAAGACTAATGCAGATAGTCCGAGACAGGAAACACCGACATTACGCGGAAGCCTGGCAGATTTGTAAGGCAAAGCATAAAGGCCTCGCAATCAACTTCCGGGAAGCGACTAAAATATCAGCAGCATGGTCCTCTAGCTTATTATAATATTAATAATTGAAGGAAGTAGTCACTATGTATCTCAGATTACGTACTTTTGAATAATGTAGAGAGATGGCAACTATACGTATTTAGATGTAAATATTTATGTAATATTGTTATATTTCCGTTGCTAAGTTTACACTGACGTCATTCGCAACGGATTATAAGCCAGTTCGAAAGATTCAAAAAAGAGTTATTTGTATTAAGTGTTCGATTTACAGTGTTTGTTCTTTATTTAATCGTATTTTCTTGAGAAAGGTCTTTTAATAAGACCGAAAACGTTTGAAGTTTTCTAATAAACGTCGACTGCAAGAAAAGGTGTTGTAGTAAGTGTTTTTTGTTTGTACAAAATAAAAAAATAATTTTTAATGATACAATAGTCTTTGTTAGGCTTAACATCGACGAAAATTCAATGCGACACGCAACGGAGAAAAATTTCGAAATCGGATACGTTAAACTATTTTTTTGTATGTAAATCAGTTATCTGAAATATCAGTTATCCGGACAACCCCAGTCCCCAATTGATTCAGAAAATTGACGCTCTACTGTATAATGGAATGAGTCTATACAAAATATTTATTTATAAAACAATAAAAACATAATATTTATTTTATAATATATACACATTTATTATAAATAAAATAATAATTTCTTTATTCAGAGAGATACTGTACAGTACTGCTAACAGATAATAGAATAGGAAAGTGATTACAATTTACAGGGGCCACTACAAGATCTTTGCATTAATGCCTCCAAGAACACATAACATCAATAAGAAAAAGCAACAAAGCACTACTGCTCTATTCACTCTAGCCTTGGAAGAAGACACATGTATATATTTGAATCAAGCTAAACTTTTACACAACACAAGTAACAAAACACAAATATGGCACCTGGAAAAATTGAAATTTACAAGATGGCAAGATAGGAAATGGTCATCAACTATAAAGACAGCAACTTGTTGGCCCAGGCATGGAGGGCCTTATACCATATGAAAAGCTCACACTGCAAGAACGAACATGACATTAACACTAACTAACCAATCATAACATATAAGTGCTAAATTTTAAAGTCTGACACGTGACATTCTATTTTTAGATATATAAAAAAAAAAAAAAAAAAAAACATTTACTACAAGTGTCATTATATGTTCGTCAGAAACGTACTATGTTCAAAAGACTTCAGAACCTGAAGATGTAGGCATAAGATCTCTGAAAAATGTTTGTTCTAGTATTAATATTTCACATTACTGCTGGAGTTTGGGTGTTCTATGTAAGTTAAGTTTATTTAGAGAGAGTCTAAAGAAAAACAACAGTATACCTAATACTCTGACAGAGCAATTATTTGATGCTCAGTACTGTACATAGTTGCTGAATATCAAACTATTATATTGTACTGTAACAAACGTGTAACAAAATCACATGTAATTTTCAAATATGTTTGAGGTTTTCTTAAGTTAACATGAACATTTGATGGGAAAAGTAAGAAGTTCTATGTTAGCTGAACTCACTGTNTTGAGGTTTTCTTAAGTTAACATGAACATTTGATGGGTGCATTAACTAGTTTAAAATATTTTAATATTAAGCAAATTAATAGTATATATATTTTTATTATTAAAGTAGATCTATTATTTATGTATAAAATTTTAGTTTAATAAGAATATTATTATTATTAGTTAGAATTATATACATTTCTTTAATTTGTAATAAATGTTTTTATGCAATTCAATAAGTATATGTTTTGCATGAATTAACATAAGTCGTATTTTAAAAATGTATTTATAAATTTATTTTTTGAATAGCAGTAGTATTTAAAATGATTGACTTCACTTTGCTGATGAAAAATAGCATTTTCACAATAACTATTTTTATAAAAATTACTTTTTCTTTTGTAAATGCCATACAATTTATTTTTAAAATTTCATTTAACTAGAGTTTTAATTGTTTATTGTTTTATTTATTTTCAAACACTCACTTTTCTTTTTAAGTTTGTATTTTTATTTATCTATTTTTTTCTTTTCATTTATTATATTTTTTCCTTCCGTTGTTTATGTCAATGATAGGTACGTGGTCATCTTGTTTCGAAGCTTGATCCACTATCAATTACAGCTGTAAACTATTCTTCAACTGTGACAGAAGGTGCACCAAGTTCTCCTCAGGTTGTACTACGTAGTCACAAGTTAGGTATGATCAACTAATATCAAGAATTGATTATATAATATAATTTATAAATAAGTATTAGTTTAGTAAGTTAATTGTATAAATTGCAAATTCTATTATTCTTGATTATAAGACAAATACTAAGATTCAGAATAATAAAATAAATACATTTAAAATAATATTATGGAATATTAGATTTTTCATTTTATTTAAAAGTTTGTGTGCATATAAGCCCAGTATATTATCAAACTTTATAAAGAATTTCTCGTTTTTTTATATTGTTGTGAGAAAACATCAGAACTCCGGATGTTGTTGTATATTTCTTCCATTCTGTAGATACGTGGACACTTCTTTGCCAACCTTGATCCCTTGGGAATAACTATTCCAAATCTAGATCGTTTGCATCTTGATGGTTATTGGCTAAAACTGCATAATATGGGTAAGAAATGCCATATGTATTGCATGTAATGGAGAAAATTTTCTTTTGAATGAGTCTCCTTTTTACTGAATTTTTTTGAATTACTTTAATTTTTCTCTGATAATTATAAATTTTGTTCTTTTATAAAACTGAAAACAACAGAATCTGTTACAGTTTGAAAGCAATATATTTTCTATTTATTTGTTGAAACTGTGTCTTCTTCTTCTTGTTTCTTCTGGTTCGATGTCACGACTTTGTGAATTTATCAACACTTGGCAAATAATTTTGTCATCCACTTTTAATTCATACAGATATGCGTTTCGGGCTTTCGCCCCTCTTCAGTCTGTTACATAGATAGGTTGTATCTTGTCATCCAAAATGCATATATATATGAATTAAAAGTGGATGATGAAATTATTTGCCAAGTGTCGATAAATTCACCAAGTTGTGACATCGAACCAGAAGAAACAATATATTTTCTGTTTTTCTATTAATGAAGTTTAAATGCTCTTCAATTTTTTGATTTTAAAGATTTTCTGCTTTTTGCTGTTATTTTTCTGTCATATATGTTTAATTTCTATTATAATTAAAGAATTCATTCTAATTTCAAAAAACTCTCTTGCTATTTTTTCATTTGAAGTATTTCTATAGCACAATTAAGTAATTAGTTGCTTTAATTTATATCTAAGAATATTTATTATAATTTAAATATCGATTGTAATTTTATATGTGTATACCATAGACTCAAATGTAAGATGCTATTGAATCTAAGACATACCTTAATTTCTACATATCCATGGAGTTTTCTTTTTTGAAAAATAGACAACTTTAGACAAATTTATGTTAAAAGAAGTTAACTTCTGTTGACATAAATTTGTTCGGCATTTATTGCAGAGTAAAGTAATTTACATGGATACCTCGGGTTATGTCATTCGAGTTAAGTCGTTCTTGGTTATATGTCATTTGTCCAAAAAAATATATGGAAATATAAAAATCAAGTTTAAGTCATTTTATTTGACTTTACATCTGTCTGTCACAAATATTGAAGTCGTAATGTCACTAGAAAAGCATTAAAAGCACATAAAATCATATTAAAATACATACATTTACAGTAAATATTAATATAATCATCATAAATCCTAGAGAACGAAACATGAAAAAATCTGCGACTCTGTGTTGTCGTCTTATTTAGTGGTCTTTAAGAGCTTAATATTGGCATTTTCTACAGTAGTTCCAATATCTACTGTTTGTCATTATTGTCAATGTCACTCGATATTGGTAAATTTAACATAAATTAATTTATTTTCTACTATCACAAAATAATTTTTATAACTGTATTTGTTATTCATCCTTACAAAATTATCTTATTTTATAATGTCTTAGAGCAGTGGTTCTCATTTAGGGTCTACATGGATCCTAGGGGTCATGTAACATTACTTAGGATCCACAGAAAAAAAATACCAAATTGGGGGTTCACAGTGATATTTTAGTAGTCTATAGCAGGGGTGGCCAACGAGTCGACCTTGATCGATCGGTTGATCGCTTGCGATGTCTTGGCAATGTGTTACACTTGTAACCGAACATAACATGCAAATGCAACTGTAGTGATATGGGACCTCCACGTCCTCCCTCAGATGCGGTTTTGTCAGTCCATGTGCAATCCGTTTGCGTACAGTTGTAAAAGGGGAATAAGAAATGCAAACAAAGGGTCATAAAACCAGAAAAAAGAAAGGCGGGAAGAGGGACAGAGAGAGTAGGTCGGAACATAGTAGAGAGAGGAAGGGTGAAATGGTGGTCCCCAAAAGCGACAACATTGAGTTTCAATTTTTCTTCTGTTTAAAATGTAAGTATCTTTTCTTCATGTTCTCAATTAAATTGTGGCTTTTCTTACCTATCTAAACAAAGTATGTATTTCACACCTTCCCTTGCCACTTAGACTATGCCTATGACAACAAGTCGATCGCGACACATTTTTAAGATAAAAAGTAGATATTATGCACACTAAAGTTGGACACCCCTAGTCTATAGGGTAATTTTACTTCAGAACAATTGTTTTACTGATAATTAAATTTCTACAGTATATATATTATCAATTTCTTTATTACTCATTTCTTCATAAGTGATAAAATATGTCATTTGACAATGACATTTCTGAACGTTTNTCCTATTTCTTTGTAAATGTTGCTTAAGGGTGCCATGTATTCCATTACTGTGTATTCTACTACTCTTCTAATTTCTTTATTACTCATTTCTTGCATAAGAGTTAAAATATAAATTATTTAAAATATTGAATACGTATATGACATACCCCTTATTTGAAAGTAAATCAGTCCGACAGTGATATAGAGTGATGTAACAATGCAGAGTTGCTTATATAATGTATGCTCAGCTTCAAACGACATAGTTATCATGAAAGTTAATGTCAAAATGGGTAAGACAAAAGATTTAAGTGACTTTGAACAAGGAATGATTGTTGGTGCAAGAAGAGATTGTGTTAGCATCTCTGAAATGACAACTCTTCTAGGATTTTCTCACCCAACAGTATCTCTGGTGTTTAGAGAGTGGCAGTTGATAAAAAAGAACTTCAAGCAATAAGGACAATTTGGTCAAAAAAGGCTTGTGAACGAGAGAGGTGAAAGGCGATTAGCATGCATAGTCCGCAGCAACAGAAGGGCAACAACATGATAAATTACAGCTGAATTCAATGCAGGTGCATCACAAAGCGTATTCAACACACAACAAAACACACTTTGCAAAGGATGGGCTTTAGCAGCAGGAGACAAAAATAGGAAAAGGCACCTGTTGTGGGCCCAGGAATGATGAAATTGGTCACTTGAGGACTGGAAAAAAGTGGCCTGGTCCAATGAATCTTGTTTCCTGCTCCATCATGTAAATGGCAGGATCAGAATATGGTGCAAACAGCACAAATTCATGACTCCTTCTGCCAAATGACAACTCTTCAGGCTGGTGGCAGTGGAATTATGGTGTGGGGAATGTTTTCTTGGAGTACATTCATTCATTCATTCATTATTTTATTGTACATATATAATATATATATATATATACAGACCGGCCCCGCTTTGGTGCATTACCGGTTGTACACAAAGAAATCACAATGCTCAGGTATAGATGTTGTACACATAACTCTAATGATGAAGAATTAAAAGAACATAAGGAATAAAATACATAAAATAGTACATCAATAACATGAAAATCAAAATAAAAACAAAACAAGTTAACTGATCTATATACAACTATATACAAATTCATGACAAGTTGCTGTTAGTATTGAAAAACATGTAAAGTTCACCATTATTATCAAATACTTGATTGTACAATACATAAGACACAATAAATAAGTACAATAATCAGAAACTTGCCAATCAGAGACAAATACTTGACATTAAAAGTGTTTCATTGACACAAAAGTACAAACAATAAAGGAAATTCAAAGTATGCTAAGCACATATAATTTATATGACAAAATGTATAGTCCTTGGTAACAATTATTAGAAAGAACTAAGATTATTAATTAAAATTATACAATAATCAAATATTATACAGCTATATTCATTTTACAGTTCCAAAATACAAATGTCAGATCACAATCTCCAGACACCGGTTAATCCTTGAGTTGTGAAGTAGCCTTGCAGATCACTGTATTATGTATTCAGTTCTTTGTTGGAATTTAGTTTTTTCTCTTAGATACACTGGGCAAGTTTTATCCATTGTGTTGTGACAATTCTGTACTCTGTTTTCTCTTAAGCAGTTAACACACTTTGGTGAGTCATATTTGTTTTGACAATCTTTATATAAATGATTTCCGTTACAATGGCTACACACATTTTCTTTTAAAGAACAATTTTTTGCAAAATGTTCAAATGATAAACAGTGATAGCACTGTGTTATAAGGAGAAAGTCAAAGACAGGACAGGTTGTCCAAAGAAGATGGATTTTTCCTGCTTTTATCATATTTTCTCTAATTTGTGGAGATACTTCAAGAATCCAGGAAATATGATTTTCATTTTTTTGATTAAGTGGAAACCTTATGTTAACATTTTCAACAAAAGTGCGTTCAGTATAGGTGGGAAAAATGTACGGGTTTTGCTCAAAAATGTCTAATGCAAGATTCTCTTTATTAATGGTTTTCGGAATGGAAGCAATTTTGACTAATGGTAGTCTCTTTCTCGGCAAACATGATACTAAACCTGGAATTTGTTCAACATTCTCTTTAAAGTAATTTACCTCATTCTTATGGTTTAAATCGACTGCAATTCCACCAGTCTTAATTTTCCTTATTTGACGTATGCCTACGCCAAGCTTATCAGTCTCAAGTTATTAGTTAAAGTACTTTTCGTTTTATCAGAAGTGGCTCTATTATTATCACTATATACTAATACAGTATATGCAGGTAGAGGTGGTTCATCTATAATTTTAGTTTGTTTTATTCCCTTTTGTAAGATATCTTTATAGCTAGGAATGCTAGGATCTTTTTTACTAGTTAGATCATAAAAAGACACAGGGTATTCTTGGAGTACATAGGGTACCTTGATATTTGTGGACACATCTATGAATAGAACAGCTTACCTCAACATTGTTGCCAATC